TGCCCCCAAACCAAATTCGACTTGCTATGAACCATTCGATAGGCGATCAAAAAAAACCAGTCTGTGCTAAGTTTCAACCCTGTATCTCATCTGGGAGGGTAGTTACGGGTAAAAATGTAATCGCGAAGTTTTTGGCCAATTTCTCGTATTTAATGACATTCGAAAATTCTGAAAAAATCAGAGACATTTCTATTTGTGAGGCACGTATTACTGTAGGAGGCCAAGACCGAATCGTGGGAAATAAATGAGTCGTTTACCGGGAAAAATAGTTTATTAAATGATGCGAAGACGAGATCGAACTGGCGAACGGCGAACGGCGAACGAACTGCGTCGCGATTCCTTCTCTTTTATATGGATTGCCCCACCGCGGGGCTGCGACGTGACGTTCGGTCGTCGGTGCTGAGCGGATTGCAGGTTTCTGGCGCATTTTACTCGAATTTTTAAACGTTAATAACTGGAAAACAAAGCCGTAAACGCTATTTCATTATTCTTGATTTTCTTCTTATTTTGATCCCTAGAATCGCCCCTTAAAATATTGCCCACCTGTTGTCGAACACCCTGTATATCAAAAAATCGAAAGCTGTTCCAACGGTGTCAGTGGTCTAGGGGTTAAAGCGCCTGAGTGCTAAACCGCTGCTGGGCTTTTCGTAGGTTCTAGTCGGCTCACGCTGATTTTTTTTTTCTGTAAAATACATGTTTTTCAGTTTGGTTCAGTGTAGAAACATTAAAAATCACATAAGACACTAAGTGTATAAAGGTTCTTTTAAAAATTGATAGTGTTTCTCATATTATCACATGAAATATGTCGAAAATATCGGTTTTTAATTTTTTTAACTATGGCGCACCTGACCAAAAATTCTAAAAAAAATTGAGAATAATAGTATCGATAATATACACTTATAAAAAAAATATGATCGTAGGACCTCATCTCCTTCAATACAAAATCGCCATTTTTCAGGATTTTTTGACGTTTTTGATTTTTCACGGCTTCAGTTTTCAATTTAAAAATCTGAAAAAATTCTGTAATATGTACCTCGCAAACAGAAATGTCTCTGATTTTTTCCAGAATTTTCGAATGTCATTAAATAGGAGAAATTGGCCAAAAACCTCGCAATTACATTTTTACCGGTAACTACCCTCCCAGATAACATACAGGGTTGAAACTTGGCACAGACTGGTTCTTTTTGATAAGCTATCGAATGAGCCATTGCAAGTCGAATTTGGTTTGGGGGCACTTTTGACCATCTTATCCGGCTATACCCTTTTTTTACAAAAGCGTCTGCGACTGATTCTGCTGTCTGGTCTTTTAAAGGTACTGCTACTAAGAATTTCGATAATTGGTCTTGTATGGTTAAGATGTATTTATTATTATTTTTTGTAACGTTGAGTGGACCGACTATGTCCATCGCGATTTTATCGAAAGTTTTTATTGGTGTGTCTGTTATGACCATCGGTTGTCTAGTTTTAACTCTTTTTAATTTATTTCTTTGGCATTCCTCGCACTTTTTTATTTTGTTTTGAATGTCTTGTTTTAGGTTTTCCCAAAAGAATTTGTCTTTTATTCTATTGTATGTTCTATTTACGCCTGAGTGACCTCCTAGTTTTATAGAGTGGAATTGGTCAAATATTTTATCTCTGTTTTCAGGTTTTACGTATTCGATACTGTTTAAGCATATTATTATTTTAATGTTTGTTTTATTGAAGGTGTTTTTTAGTATTTCCTCTATTTCGTGCCAGTTTATGTTTAATATTTTAATGTCTTTTGAAATGCTGAAGATTTTTATATTTTTCCGTATAAGTAAGTCCTTTAATGTATTAAATAATTTTATCAGATTTTGTTTTATTATCTCCGATGATGTTGCTACGTTTAAGCATAAGATAAAGAGTTTTTTATTATTTACTTCTATTAATTCAATTTCGTTTTCGGACAGATTGGGATTTATTTTTATATTCTTGATTTCCATTAACGCGTTGGTGTTTTTGTCTAGAGGTATGCCTTGTTGAGTAATTATTTGTACGATGTTATCGTTTCTAAATTGAATCGAGTTTTTTGTGTAAATTAAATTTTTTTGTTCCTGTTCTTCAATATTGTCTTTTTTTTCTTTATTTTCCTGTTTCTTGCGCTTAGTCGTTCTTCCCTTATTGTTGCTATTCGAAGTTGCCTCTTGGTCTAACGGTTCTTGGATCTTTTTCCTTGGTCTGCCCCTTCCTCTTTTGATTTTGGTATGATTGTCGTTTGGGGCTTCTACTTTATTTTGACTTGGAATTTTTACGGGTGTCGATTTTTCGCTAATTTCTTTCTTTCCTTGCGCTCTTGTTGTAACGGAATCGTGTACGTTGTCCACCGGATTTCTTGATAATGCATCGGCGTTCACGTTCTGCTTACCCGGTTTATATACTATATTGTATTCGTAATCCGATAATTTTAGTCTCCATTTTTGTACTCTGGTATTATTGTCAGCTGTTTTTAGCCAAAGTAATGGTTTATGATCTGTGACTATTGTAAATTTATTCCCGTAAATGTAGTTTCGGAATGATTTTATCGCGAACATTATTGCCAGAGCTTCTTTTTCGTAGGTGTCGTATTTAATTTCGGCTTCTTGCAATACTCGTGATGCGTATGCAATTGGTTTATCCTTCCCGATTTCTCCTTGTGATAATACTGCACCTAGAGCGTATTTAGATGCATCTGTCGTGATAATGTATGGTCTCTCGAATTGTGGGTATTGTAGTATGGGTGCATTGCATAATATTTCTTTGAGTTTTATGAAAGCTTCTTGTTGTTCCATGTTCCAGACAAATTTGTTATCTTTTTGTAATAGGGTCGTTAAAGGTTTTGCGATTTTTGCGAAGTTGCGTATAAATCGTCTGTAGTAGCCTGCGAGTCCTAGGAATTCTCTTATGTTCTTGACGTTCTTAGGAGTAGGGAATTTTTGTACAGCTTCTGTTTTTGTTGGGTCTGGTTTTATTCCTTCCCCACTTATTATGTGACCTAGGAAGCATACTTCTGATTTCAGGAATTCGTATTTTTCGGGCTCAAGTTTTAATTTTACATCTCTTAATTTTTGGGCGACTGTTTTAAATCTTGTATTGAGTTCTTCTAAATTTCCTTCAAATATTATGATGTCGTCGATGAAAACAAAGCAAATTTTTCCAATTGAATCTCTTAGGGTTGTATTTATTACTCTCTGAAAGGTTCGTGGTGAATTTCTTAATCCGAAAGGTAGGACGTTGAATTCGAATCGTCCTAGTGGATGTATGCTGAAAGCTGTCTTATGTATATCCTTTGGGTTCATTTTGATTTGATGGAAGCCTGATTTTAGATCTATTACGTGATATAGTTTTGCTTGTCCTAACTGGTCGAAAATTTCAGTTATGTTTGGAAGTAGATATGGATCTGGGATCGTTTTTTCATTTAGTTTCCTGTAGTCTATCACTAGTCTCCATCTTTTTTTTCCTTCAGCTGTTTCCTTCTTTTTGACTACCCAAGTTGGAGCGTTAAAAGCACTTTTTGAATGTCTGACAAAACCGTTTGCAATTAATTTTTCTATTTGCTTTACTGCCATTTCTTTTAACCTATGTGGTAAAGGGAATTGTTTTACGTATACAGGTTTTTCGTCCGTTCGGTTAATTTCGTGTTGTTCTGTATTATATGATTCTATTTTATCTCCTTCTACCCAAAATATATCGTTATTATCCTCAATTAATTCCTTCATTATAGTTCTGTTTTCTTCTGATAGATTTCCTAATCGAATTTTTCCTAATAGTTTGTCTCGTCGTTTCTTTGCTTTCCGTCGCAATATTGTCTTCCTTGTTTTCTGCAAAACTGATTTTTCCTACTTCTAATATTTCGCTTTCGTTTATTTTTGGTAGATTTTCTGTTTCTTGAAATCCTTCCAGTATATCTTCTACATCGTACGAAGCATAGTTATATTTGTTTTCTAAAGGGTCGGTTTCGTTTTTGAATTTGATGTTTGTATTCTCGTCCACTTTGGTTAAAAATTCTGTATAGTCGTATGAGTCTATTTCGCATTTTTCTTCTTGATTGTCGAGTACTGTATTTATACTGTTTATTATCTGTCTCATGTATTTGTTATCTGTTTCTAAATGTTCCTCGGGATTTGATGACGTCGTCTTTTCCGTGTCTATTGTTACGTTACTTGGTTCATTATTTAATTTGTCCACTATGTTTAATAAATGTAGTGTGTCGTTATTGAGGCTAACGTCCCAGTTTCCTGTCATATTACCCGGTTGCGGAAGGTCTTGGTTTGCACTGTCTTTGTCGCTCGTGTTTTCGCTGATTCCTGTTTGGTGCAAGGTTCCTGCGTCCGTATGTACAGGGGTCAGTGTCTCGTTCGCGTGAGTCGTGTCTTGAAGTATTTTGTTGAGGAAGCATTTTTGCTCGTCTGTTAGTTTTGGTAACTGATGTAAAGCTAATGTTTGGCTTGTTATATTTGCCTCTCCTGATTTTAGTTCGAATCTTCCATTGTTTATTTCTACGTATCCCTCGTCTAATCTTAATTTTTGTTCTAGGAGTACTTTTATTCCTAATATTCCGTCATATGGTATTGAAAAGTCCTGTGGTGCTACATGGAAATCGAAATATTGGTAGTTTATCGGTATTCTTACTGCTCCTAAAGTTTGTAATGGTTTGTCTGTAATGCCTGAAAGTAATATTTTTCTGTCTTCTAATATTGCGTTTATAGGAATTTGGTCTTTTTTTATAATATTCAGTTGTGCACCGCTGTCAATAAGGAGGTTGCATTCCTTTCTTGTGTAAGGGTTTTCTATTGTAATGTATTGTAATAGGTTTTCCAATCTCAGTGAATACGTTGCCATTCTTGTTGTTATTCTTTCTTCTTTTATGATTTGATTTTCGGGCAAGTTGGGTCCTAGCGTTTTTTTTTGTTCTGATTCATTCGGCTTTGTACTGTTGTTAATTTTATGTGTTTTGAGCGGCTCATCATTGCTCCTCTTTATGCGCTCTTTCCAGGAGGAGTCTATTCGTTTCCCGGTCTGTGCTGTTGATGGTTTTGCCCTCTGTAGCATTCTTCTGTTGCGTGATTCGTACTTTTGCATAGGTTGCAGATTTTTCCGGCGCTGTTTTCTAGGCTTTTTAGTTTCCTGCATGCGTCTATTTGGTGTCCTGGCTCTTTGCAGTAGGAACAGATATCTGTTTTTTGTGCTCGTAGTTCGATGGCTTTTAGTTTCCTACATTCCTCTTTTGTGTGATTTGGGGTTTTACAATACTCGCAAAATCTTCGTAGTTCGCTTGTGTGTTTCGGATTGTCCCTATTGTCATTACTATCTTTAAAATAATTACTATCGTTGTGATTGTATTTTCTGTGGTAGTTACTCCTATATGAATCATTTGATTTTTGTTGAGGTTTCCTTGGCTCGTGGCAGCCTTCTGCCGAGTGTCCTAACCGCTTACAAAGTTGGCATTTAATTTGATTTGTTCTGGTTTGGAAAACTCTTGCTTCCTCGCAATTTGCCGCGCTGTAGCCTTCTTCCTTACAGATTGTACACATGACTAATTGGAGATCGTTGGTTTTTGTTGTTGGGCAAGTTTTTGCTGTGTGGCCCAATTCGTTGCACAGTTGGCACGTAGGTGTTGGACAATCTTTTGTTGTGTGATACCTGCTATTACAGATTTCGCAAAGTTCTGTAATTTTTGGGAATTTTGTGCAGGTGTTTGGGTCGTGACCGGTTCCTCCGCATTTCCAACATGTCTCATATTCGATTATAAATGGGCATTCGCTGACCGTGTGCCCCTTTATTTGGCAGTATTGGCAGTGCTTTCCCTTTACTTTGTTCATCTTACAAGCATCTGTTGAATGTCGTGGAGTGTTGCAATGTTTGCAAATGAGTTCTATTTTCTTTTTGGCCAGTTTGCAGTTGTACGATATGTGATCCTTGCTTTTTTATCCGACTTCGAAAAGGAGGAGGATACTCAATTCAATGTGTATGTATTTCTTTTTTTTTTTTTTTTTTTTTTTTATGTATGTTCACCGATTACGCCGAGACGGATGGACCAATCGGAACGAAACCTTTTGCATTTGGTAGAGTACGTCTCCCGATTGGTTCCGTTAAAAAAACATTTTGCATTTTTCCATTCCGAACGCTTTTTATTGCAAAAAAACGTACTATGTCATGTACGTGCGACGTACGTTCGCCGATTACTCAGAGTCGGATGGACCAATCGGAACGAAACTTTTTGCGTTCTGTAGAGTGTAACTCCTCATTGGTCCAGTAAGGAATCAATATATTACATTATATCTAATGTCTATATGGTAATAATAATATTGTTATTAATTGTACATTACATATCTAATGTAGATATAGTAATAATGATATTGTTATGAAATGTACATTGATCTGTGGGAAGGAATCAGTATATTACATTATATCTAATGTAGATATGGTAATAATGATATTGTTTTTAAATGTACATTACATATCTGATGTAGATGTAGTTCTCATGATATTGTTATTAAATGTACATTGATCTGTGGGAAGGAATCAGCATGTTACATTATATCGAATGTAGATATGGTAATAATAATATTGTTATTAATTGTACATTACATATCCAATGTAGATATAGTACTAATGATATTGGTATTATATGTTCATTGATCTGTGGGAATGAATCAGTATATATCATTATATCGAATGTAGATATAGTGCTAATGATATTGTTTTTAAATTTACATTGATCTGTGGGTTGTAATCAGTATATTACATTATATCTAATGTAGATATGGTAATAACAATATTGTTATTAATTGTACATTACATATCTAATGTAGATATAGTAGCAATGATATTGTTATTAAATGTACATTGATCTGTGGGAAGGAATCAGTATATTACATTATATCTAATGTACATATGGTAATAATGACATTGTTTTTAAATGTACATTTCACATCTAATGTAGATGTAGGACTCATGATATTGTTATTAAATGTAGATTGATCTGTGGGAATGGATCTGTATATTACATTATATCTAAAGTAGATGTAGTACCAATGATATTGTTATTAAGTGTACATTGATCTGTGGGAAGGAATCAGTATATTACATTATATCTAATGTTGGTATAGTAATAATGACATTGTGATTAAATGTATATTACATATTTGATGGAGATATAGTAATAATGACATTGCTTATTAATGTGTATTACATATTTGATGTAGATATAGTAACAATTATATTGTTATTAAATGTATATTACATTATACCTCATGTACATATGGTAACAATTATATTGATATTAAATGCATATTACACTATATCTCATGTACATATAGTAATGACGACATTGCTTATTAATGTATATTACATATTTGATGTAGATATACTTACAATTACATTGTTAATGATTGTATATTACATTATATCTCATGTACATATAGTATTAGTGACATTTACCCACGTACACCGGGTACGTTCGGGACTTAAATGACCGATTGCACGAGATGCGCGAAATCGCTTCTAGTAATTTGGATCGTGCAATGGTCCGTTCGAAAACCTATTACGACGCGAAAGCTCGTCCATTTAAAGGACAGGTTGGGGACGTGGCATACGTTCTGGTCGAGCCGCGTAAAGGCAAGTTTGGCAAAAGATATCATGGCCCTTATAAGATAGTAGATTGTACAGCTAGAAATAATGTCGTGCTGGAAGACGGGACAGGCAACATTTTTATGAAACATGTAGACAAATTAAAGTTCGTAGGAACCAAGAAAGATTGAGTGCAGCGGTTGGCCTTCATAATTGGCAATATTATTCGACGAAGGGGGCACTTTACTCCTCAAAGGGGGCCGACTGGCGCACTGCGTATATATATTTACATATTTAACACATACTTGTATTTATTACAGGAAAATACCGAGAAAAGCACACGTATTCAATCCGAATTTCTGTACATAAATATGCGCTGTTTTCATTGTATTTAAACTAATACAGGTTCCATCGATCTCATCATGGCATCCCGCTACGTGGACACCAGTGAGGAAACACGAGGAAGAATAGTTTTCGTCACCCGCATACCGCCGTTCACTAAAACAAAAGAACTCATGAAGTTCTTCAGGGAGTTCCGGCCTCAACATGCGGTCGTGGTGCATCGACCTACGGGGACTAAGGCCTTCGTAACCTTCCCGACGGCTTCCCAGGCATCCGAGGCTATACTTTGGGTCTCCAACACCAGACCCATATTTCATAAGAGGAGGGTGAAGGCTGATTTGGCGGACCCGTGGCATGAGGCCACCCTCATCCAGTCTAGGGACAGGCCTGAACCATTCCCGGGACGGGAACGTCCAGCACCACCACCGCTCCCAATCGAGGCGATCACCCGTATAGCCCGCTATTTAAACTTTGCGGACCGAGCGCGAATGAAGTGTGTGTCTAGAGCGTGGCGCGTAGGGTCGCTGGCCTCGTAGGCAAACATCAAGATGTTGACAACGGAGGACTGGCGTTGGCCAACGGGCTGGGATCATCGTCTCGTCACAACCGAAGCGTTCTACTGGGCGGTACGGCGCGTAGGGACCTACGTATCGGGCTTGCGGCTCGACGACCGGCGAATCGCGCGTGCGCTGCGCCCGCAGGTATTAGGTATTGCTGCGAGGGGTTGCCCATTTCTAACTCAGATCGATTTAACCGGTGCTCGCGTGCGACCGGCTGCGTTGCGCGACTTGGCGGCAACGGCAGCCACGCTAGAGGATTTAAGATTGGGGCAGAGCTTCGGCAGCGTGGAGCCCGAGGTTTCGGGGCTGCTCGCGGCGGCGGCGCGTCTCTCGATCTTCGTGGCCTCAACCACGGAGTTCGTGGGGGTGTCGTTGGCGCGGGTAGCGCCGGGGCTTCGGGAGCTCCGGCTGCGGAACTGCCAGGGGGTTTCATCAGTGCCTGTGGGCGTAGCGTTGGCGGCGTTGCACTCGCTCACCGCGCTTGAGATTGCGCAGTGCCGCTCCCTAACGACTGAGGAGCCGCTGCATGCCCTGGTGGCTGACGAGCCACTGCACGCCACTTTGAATGAACTAATCATCACCGACGTCGACTTTTCACCGTACCCCGACGAGGATCCTGAGGCGGAGTTCAGGGCACCCGTGATAGTAGACCCTGTATTCATAGAATTACAAGTAGGACCAGCAGAAACCGCCCGTACGATTCCGGAGGTCTTCACGGAACTACGACTATTGACCACCATGTTTTGTGGATGGGTGGCGAACGCCTTCGTCGCGAATATCGGGGCCCATCTAGTGAAGGTCACCGATCTAAATCTGTCGGGATGTTCTAACATCCGGGGGCAGTTTGCCCTGGAACTATTATCCACTCTACCGGAATTGAGGACGGTACATATAAATAACCTACATCCATCTGTGGGCCGGCAGGAACTGGCGGCAATTGGAAGTCTGGAGGAAGTCCGCGCCCGTGATAGCCAGGGCATAACGGACGAAGACACTTGTGGAGCAGCCACGGGGTGTTTGCGACTTCAAGTTCTGGATGTGGAGGGCTGTCTTGGAGTGACGGATCGCACTCTCCACGGGATCACTAAAATTGTTCGTCGGCAGGGGCGAGCGGCGCTGCTCAAGCTCAGTGTCGGTGGGACGAGTGCCGGTCGTTGGACTGTCGTGCGCCCGAGCCTAGTCCTACAAATAATTCGCGACCGGGTCTACGCGCCGATATTGCATTAGGAAAAGCGCATCGCGATGAGCTTCACCTTTGATATCGCCGAGGGCGGCGATAGTTTTAAGGGGGGAGGATTTGTCACGTCCGGAAAATTTTATGAATTTGTCCGCCTCACGTTCCCTTATCAAGCCTTCGAGTTGTAGGAGTCTCCTCGTGTAAGGGGCGTGGGGAGGGCAAATTACTACTGCACCTTTCTTTAATTTCTCCTTGACTCTGTGCTTTCCCATCAAGCCTTCGGGTTGTAAGAGACTTCTTCATGTGGGAAATGCGCAGGGAAAAGTTTGAGCTTATAATTATTCCACTTTTGTCTTTTCTATCCTTTCATTCTTCTCATACTTCTCAATTCTTTTCTTAGTTAAAACCCCTCCTTGAAACTATCGTCGTGCTCAACTGCGTAGTAATAGAATTCGAGATAGAAAAACTCGGTTTCGACCGAGGAGAGATATCGTAAACAGCGTTCGCTGCGCGGTTAGCCAGTGCTTCGCATTGTAGGGGTCTCCTCAGGTTAACTGCGCAAAAGCGTAAAGATCAATTTATCTTTAGATTTTTAACCGATACTCTCCTCTTTTTCACGCGTAGGCGCCAGTCGGTCCCTAACCCGATCGCGTGTATGAATTGATTGCTGGAATAAGAACGCAAAGCAATCTAGCTCGTTGAATATTTGTATGAATGCGAGAGCGAGGAATGAGAACCCTTGCAGGCAAACGTTAGCAAGCGTTCGAGGACTATTTAGAGGCAAAGGGTCGTACGGGGCAACAAAAGTCTTTGTATTGAATTCCGAGAATTTGCCTGAAACCGAAAACCTAACGGTAATTTTCGAATGGCGAGAACGTTCTCGAAGCAACTACGTCGCAAATGTAATACCGAATATTCGATTAATAATGGAAAACTGTCGTTATTGAAAATTGCAATCGAACACCGAATGCCTTATACCGAGCGTACCGGCGCAATTCATATTGTTGATCGATTTCTCTGCAAACAAAATGATTATGGACAAGCCGATTGTTAATTAAGAAACCACGCGATCATCGGTTTCATTATCCGTACGCAATGGTACCACGAACGATTCAATTACTTGCAAATTTATTGTTCAATAATTTTGATTTAATTTACTAGTTGATAATCGCATCATTTACTATCTAATATCGAAATTATCGAAAACATGGAACAATCCAGAAATTCTACGGCGTAGAAACACCGAAAAGCCGTTAGACAGAGAAGGAACACCAAGAAAGAGAGAAAACATGATCTAGAGGAATTTAGCTGGCACGCGCGCTCGACCAACAGAAACGCACGCGACGTCGTCGTTACGCGCTGTGATTTGCCGAAATTTCCCCACGCAGGACATCGTCCTCGCGACGGGCCCTTCCGGCTAGGATCGCGATCGATTCTGATCACTCTTCGTCGAACAATCGAGTAAGTCGTGACGGGAGCCCATGCGTCTAGAGATAGAGTTGTCGTTTGTACTTCGTTGTAATTTAGCTGCGCGGCAAGTCCTACGAATTAGGCAGAGTGTCGCGAGAGTGAAATTCCGAATACGCGGCAAAGACTCAGTGACGCGCACGTAAAGCCTTTTCACACTATTAAACCTCTATCTTTTCTCTTTCTTTTAATCCGTTGTTCGTGTAATTTTCGTATTAAATTCACTCGCGTTTACTAGTATGTTATTTCGAAAAACCGAAATCGTCTTGTGTTTCGTCTATTAATTTTGCAATAAACGACAACCGGGCGCGCGACAAGTGTCGTGCGGCACAGATCTCTCAACCTTTCTTGGTGTTCCAGATTCTACAGCGACTTTCAACGATCTACCAGCGCATTTATAAACAATTTTATCGTATATTATACTCTACATTCTCACGGTAAGCCTATTCTGTACTAATTCGTCGAGCACGGCATTAACATTCAATTTAGACACGGCAAAACGGGCGATCTATTAAGCCTACGGGTTATAAGAGTCTCTTCATTTTAGATCGTCTCGTTTCTACAGTCAGGTACCGATTATATTATTTTTCGCTATTTTAATATTCCGAATTTTCCAATCATCGCGAATTTGTGTGAGTGACGATTGTTTCGACGGCGAGATATTTTATCAGGGACGACCTGTAAAGCCCTTCCGGGGGTTGTAAGAGTCTCTTCGTTCAGGTCGTTTCTTTGCGGATAGAAACCACCTAAAATTTGATTTTCCATTATATCCGGTCGAGGCAGCCGTCCTACGTTAAAACATATAACTTTCACGTTTCAAATACGGTTAATAATTATACTAGAAGCTCTCATTGTAAGCCGAAGGTTGGACATTTTTCCGGTTTTCATTTATATTATTAACGTATAATAGGTTAAGCATCTTTACCCTTGTTCAAACAGTATTGTTATTAATTGAATTATTTAACAGTGATTAACAGAAATCAAATAGAATCATTTTAGTATTCAAACAACAGTCATTGCAAAATTCAGTTCTGTTAGCTTCAATAGTTATTTTTGAATTAAACTACTTTCTTTTTGCACACTAAATTGCATTAACATTTCTTTCAAATTCCATTTTGCATCATTTCCTTTATCATTTTACATTTCAAAATCACGCACCCCAACACAAGGTTTCAAGGAGGGACCCGTATGGGACCCAGAGCACTGACGAACCCAACGGAAATAAACACTATCTAAATTTTCCGTCTTTTAATTTTGTTCTGACCGTAGAGGACGCTTCCGCGTAATACGCGGTCAGAACTGGTGGCAGCGATACCTTTCTCATCGCCCAAAAATAAGAATAAAGTAATTTTTCTTTTACGTTGCGCGCTCACGCAACGCGCAACGTAACACTTATTAATGTATATTACATTATAACTCATGTAGATATAGTATTAATGACACTGTTATTAAATGTATATTACATTATATCTCATGTACATATAGTAATAATGACATTGTTAATAAATGTATATTACATTATATCTCATGTACATATAGTAATAATGACATTGTTACTAAATGTATATTACATTATACCTCATGTAGACATGGTAATAATAACATTGTTATTAAGTATATATTACTTATCAAATGTAGATATGCCAATAATGATATTCCTACTAAATGTATATTATATTATATCTCGTGTAAACATAGTAATAATAACATTGTTATTACATGTATATTACATATCTAATGTAGATATGCCAATAATGATATTCCTATTAAATGTATATTACATTATATCTCGTGTAGATATAGTAATAATGCCACTGTTATTAAATGTATATTAGATTATATCTCATGTAGACATGGTAATAATAACATTGTTATTAAGTATATATTACTTATCAAATGTAGATATGCCAATAATGATATTCCTACTAAATGTATATTATATTATATCTCGTGTAGATACAGTAATAATGCCATTGTTATTAAATGTATATTAGATTATATCTCATGTACATATAGTAATATCGACATTGTTATTAAACGTAATATTACATATCTAATCTAGTAGTAGTAGTAGTAGTAGTAAAAGTAGCGGGTGGGAAAATGGGATATCCTAAAGTCACCTAGATCTAAGAGTTCTTTTGTGACATCCCGCTGGTCAATTGGGTTCATTCGATAAGGCCCAGCTCGGCATTCGCTAGCAGGCCGCAGAGGTTGCTCATCTTAGCACCCTTTAGATCACTGGGTCGTAGGAACATCTTACCCCAGATTCTGTATCTTTTCAGAGCTAGGACAGGACATCGGCATAGTATATGTATGCTGTCCTCTTTTTCTTCTCCACATAGCCGGCAATTTATTTGCTCAGCTCGGTCGAGTTTGTGTAAATGTGCCCTTAGTGTTATGTGGCCGGTGAGGAGGCCTATACAGGTCCTTATTTTTTTTCTGCTGATGGCCAAGAGCTCCTTGGTTCTGCTGGCTGATGGTTGTTGTATCAAGAGTTTTACCTGGCGGCAGCCCGTTGCTTCCGTCCAGGAGGTTAGGTGTTGCCTTTCCAGGCTCTCCTTGATGTGTTTTTTCCCAAGGACAAAGGGGACACCGACTATCTGTTGAACCGGGCTCTCAAGGGTGCCTAGTTTTGCCAGACCATCGGCTATCTCATTGCCCTGTACACCTTGGTGTCCAGGGGTCCATATGAGGGTGATTTTGTTCAGCTTGCTGAGTTGTGATAATGCCTGCATGCCTTCCCAGACGGTGGAAGATTCCGTGCTGATCGTTGCAAGGGCGTTTATCGCCGCTCTGCTGTCTGAGCATATGCAGATCTTTCTGTACTTAACTCCTAATGAGATCTGTAGTTTTGCGCATTCTGAGATTGCTAGAACCTCAGCTTGGAAGACCGTGGCTAGTTCCCCCAGAGAGAAGCTAGTACTGTGTCTCATCCTCGGGCCACAGAAACCTGCTCCGAAGCGGTTGTTGTTTCCTGAGCCATCCGTGTACCAGATGTCAGTGCCCAGGTTGTTCGGAAATCCCGGTTCCTTCCAGTCGTTCCTAGCTGGTATAAGGACCTTGAAGGTGCTTTGTAGCTGGTACTTCCTGGGGATTCTATCTTGCGTAAATGTGAATGGGGGTTTGTGTAAGAACTCCAGTGCCGTGTGCCCGTTACCGGTGCTCTTCCACTCCCCCAGACATTGTAGTCTGTATGCTGAGAGTTTGGCGACGTTAGTTATGACGTGCTCAAGGGGGGGACACCCTAAGGCCACTTGCAGTGCGGCTGTGGGTGTGGTTCTCATGGAACCTGCAATAGCTCTCAGATAACTTCCCTGGAGGCTTTTTAGTAGGTTCCCTGTTTCTTTTTTCTTTGTTCTGGGCCACCATACTATCGCGGCATAGGTTAGTCGCGGTAGTAGGATGGCTTTGTAAACCCATAAGGCAATGCTGGGCTTGAAGCCCCAGGTCTTTCCTAGAGCCCTTCTGCATGCCCATAGGGATGTGTAAAGGTTTTTCCTCTTTATATCAAGGTGCATCTTTCAGCTGAGTTTGGAGTCAAGATATACTCCCAGGTACTTTACCAAGGAAGTGTATGGAAGATCCTTACCCCACAGATTCAGACAGTCAATGGGTTCCGGTTTGTACTTTCTGGTGAAGATTATAGCCGAGGTTTTTGAGGGATTTACCGTTAGTCCCTTGGCTTCACACCAGTTTTGAATGATCTTAAGTGCTTCTGTCATGCGCTCCTTAAGGATGGATAGGAAGCTCCCTCTGATCAGAACGGCAATGTCATCTGCGTATCCGAAGATGAGGAAGCCTGCTGTTTGTAGACTTATCAGGAGTTCGTCTATTACTAGGCACCACAGGAGTGGGGATGGTACTCCACCCTGTGGGCAGCCCCTGGTAGGTCTGCCGTGAACCGTGATGTCATTGTGATTGACCATCACTTTTCTGCCGTTCAACATGCTTTGGATCCAATCCAGCAAGGTTTCGGGGATGTTACGGTATATTAGTGCTTCCCGTATTGTTTGATATGAGGTGTTATCGAAGGCTCCCTCAATATTGTAAGAGTGGTGCGAGGGCCACTATATTAATATGACTGTCCCTGCGGATTCATGACAACGAATGTTATTAACAAAAGATGTTGTAAAACAGATCATTCACGATTTAACTGTTGACGAATAAAGTCTACAATTTTTCAGAAGTGGGATCAGAATCAGAATCAGTTTATGTGAAATTATTTATGATTTGCTTTATGGTTCAGTTTATGGTTTAGTTTATGGTACAGTTAATGTGTTAGTTTGAGTGATTCTATGTGAATTAAAGACTTATTGTAACTCTACGTGTCTTATGCGAGTTTATGTGAACATTGAAAAAGTTTTACGTTACGGATAAAAGAAATTTTACGGGGAAATTATCAGTTGAGAAGCACGAAGTTTAAAAAGTGATTTAAAAGATGAATTCGAAATTATCGGTTGCTGATTTGAAAGAGAAGCTACGTGGAATGAACTTGCCCACGACAGGCACCAAAGCTGAATTAATAAATCGCTTGTTGGAAGCAGGGATTAATCCAGCCGATTTAATGATGGTAACAGTTGTGGGACGAGAAGAAAATGAACGAAGACCAGAATCTGTCGTAGAACACCAGCAATTAGGTGAGAGGCCAATCGATTTTATTAGTCAATCAGCACCATCGAATTCACAATTGTCTGAGGTGGAATTGTTACGAAGAGAGAGAGATGTGACTGAACGTGAGAATCAGTTACTTAGAAGAAAATTAGAAATGTTACGAGTTATGCCGCGAGAAAATAGTCTTGCACCAACGCATTCCAATTTGATGAAATGGAAAGATGTTAAGGAAATGATTGGAAATTATGACGGTAACTCTTATGATTATAATATTTGGGAAAAACAAGTAAGACAATTGATCTGTAGTTACTCTCTTGACGATTGCGCTGCTAAAGCATTGTTGTGCAGCAAATTGTCAGGAAAAGCCCTTAAATGGTATCATTCGCGAAGTGATTGTATCGAAATGAACTATGAACAGCTGTTGAGTGAAATTAAGAAAATGTTTGGGCAACGAGTAAACAGTTTAACTTTACGACGCGAATTCGAAACTAGGAAATGGACGCCAGACGAAATATTTGCCGATTATCTACATGATAAAATAATGTTAGGAAACAGGGTTCCTATTCCTCAAGAAGAACTAATCGATTATGTTATAGATGGAATTCCTAATGAAAGCTTTCGAACTCAGGCTCGTATACAATGCTTCCAGTCCACCGACGCACTTTTAAAGGCATTCGCAAAAGTATCATTACCTTGTGAGACAGCTCGACGCAAGTTCGTACAGCAGAATGAGATTTCTATAGCAGCAAGAAGAACTGGCAAAATTGTGAAGGAGCAAACGGGCACTGCAACACCTCAAAAGGACACTCCGACTCCACTTCGCTGTTACAATTGTAGCTCCGTGGGACATTTTGCTAAGAACTGCCCGAAACCGAAGAGAGAAAGAGGATCCTGCTATACATGTGGCAAATTTGGGCATCGTGCGACAGAATGCAGCAAATTGAAGACGTCAGCTGAAGAGGTCAACTACGTAGTTGTGCAACGTGAAGAAGACGACGAGTTCTAGCGCACCGTGAGATTACGTTAAAGTGAGAACAATGAATTTTGTATATCGGTTCCTGCTTTGCTAGATTCAGGTAGTTCTATTAGTTTTATTAAACAAAATCTTTTACCTGAGGGGGTGTGGAAAGCCAATGTACCGACGGCTCAGTTCAGTGGTATAAATAATAGTCCATTAGAAATTTTGGGAACGGTTGATGCTCATGTTGCTCTTAACGATTTTGAAAATAATATAACTTTATATGTTGTTACAAACAAAACTATGCGTAGAGGAATAATTTTAGGACGAGACTTTATGAAAACTGCTAACCTAACATTAATGTGTCGTGAAGTTCAGGAAATTATGAATATAGAGGTAGATTCGGAAATTAAGAATTTAGAAAAGCAAAATATGATGAATTTAAACGAAGATTTGCCAAATGAAATTAAAGAATGTGCCAGAGAAATTTTTGTAGAAAATTATGTATTACCAGAAAGACCGGAAAAACCTAAAGTAGAAAATGTAATGAAACTTGTATTATCGGACGAAAAACCTTTCCATTGCACACCGCGAAGACTTTCGTACACCGAAAAAACTCAACTTAAAGAAATTATAGATACATTACTTGAGAAAAAAGTTATACGAGAAAGCACATCAGAATATGCTTCACCAATTGTGTTATTAAGAAAGAAAACTGGTGAGATACGTATGTGTATCGATTTTCGAGTTTTAAATAAGGTTACTGTGAGAGACAATTTTCCGTTACCTTTGATTGAAGATCAGTTGAATGTTTTGTCCGGGAAAAAGTATTTCACAACGTTGGATTTAAAAGATGGCTTTTTTCACATTAGCATGCACCCAGATTCAATAAAATATACGTCCTTTGTTACACCATTAGGGCAATATGAATATCTTAAAATGCCATTTGGTTTAAAAGGAGCACCTCTCAAATTTCAGCGTTATATTACGAAAATATTTAAAGATTTGATTGATACTGGTGATGTGTCAGTTTATTCAGATGACTTTTTAATAGCTACTACAACAATAGAATACCACTTGAAAATTCTTAAAAAAGTATTTTTGTTGTTTGTTGAGAACAGATTACAATTGAGGTTAGATAAATGTAAATTTCTTCAGACAACATTAGATTACCTAGGATATACAATTTCGGCTGAAGGTGTTAGTCCGACAGAAAGAGGAATCAAGGCAGTGAAAAGATTTCCGATTCCCAAAAACGTTAAAGAGGTCCAAAGCTTTTTAGGTTTATGTTCCTATTTTCGGAAGTTCATCGAAAACTTTTCGCTTATTGCCAAACCTTTATATGATCTTACGCGCAAAAACGTAGATTTTAAATTCGGAGAGGATGAAATGCAAACTTATGAAAAACTCAAACTTTCTTTAGTAAACGCACCGATTTTAAGTATTTATTCACCGCAGGCTGAAACTGAGCTACACTGTGATGTGAGTGCTATGGGTTTTGGTGCAATTTTGATGCAGCGAAAGGCTGATCGCAAGTTTCATCCTGTTTTTTATTTTTCTAAAAGAACAACTGACACAGAGTCAAGATATCATTCATTTGAATTAGAAACATTAGCTATTATTTATGCCTTACGTCGTTTTCGGATATATTTAATCGGGTTAAAGTTTAAGATTATAACAGACTGCCAAGCGTTAAGTTTAACCCTTAATAAAAAGGAAACCAACCCTAAGATCGCACATTGGGTCCTTGAAATGCAAAGATACGATTATACACTTGAACATAGGGTAGGCTCTAGAATGGCACATGTTGATGCATTGAGTAGACAAATTTTAGTAATAGAAGATAATTCGTTTGATAAAAATCTTGTTCTCTGTCAGGATGAAGACGAAACTATTGTAAAATTACGTGAACTGTTAGGTGAAAGTGAAGACAAGTATTACGAGATGCGGAATGGTGTGGTGTACCGAAAACGCAATGATCAACTTTTATTTTATGTTCCTTCGATTATGCAAAATAATGTCATACGTAAATATCATGATGAGATTGGTCACGTTGGACAATGCAAAACATTTTAGGCAGTTATTGGTTTCCAAGCATGAAAGTAAAAATTAATGATTACATTAAAACTTGCCTGAAGTGTATTGCGTTTTCACCAACTGCGGGCAAACCGGAAGGTACGCTACATAGCATTCCAAAGGGAAATAAACCTTTTGACACATTACATGTTGATCATTTAGGACCACTATCAAAATCGAAGTCCGCTAAGAAACGTTATATATTTTTAGTTGTAGATGGTTTTACGAAGTACATTAAGTTATACGCGACGAAAAGTACTAATACTGTAGAAGTAATCAAATATCTAAAACTATACTTTACAACGTACAGTAAACCTATGCGGATTGTGTCTGATAGAGGAAGTTGTTTCACTTCCCGAGAGTTTGCGGATTTCATGAAAGAGTGTGATATACAACATATAAAAGTAGCTACTGCGTCGCCACAAGCAAATGGTCAAGCTGAACGAATGAATCGTACTATATTACCGATTATTGCCAAATTAAGTGATGAAAGAAAAGTTCAATGGTATGATGTTCTTGATGACGTAGAATATGCTTGTAATAATACTGTTAATCGATCGACAGGGGAATGTCCTAGTATGCTTTTGTATGGTGTGAAACAAAAAGGAAATGTTAATGATAATTTAAGAAGTTATTTCGAAAGAAACGATTTTATTGTTGAAACCAGGGATTTGGCGAAAATACGCGACGTTACAGAAAAACGTATTCAGAAAACTCAGTTTAAAAATCAAAATCAATACAATAAGAAACATAAAATACCTACAAAGTATGAAAAGGGCGATAAAGTAATGATTCGAAATTTTGATTGTACACCTGGTATATGTCATAAATTAACGCCACGGTTTAAAGGCCCTTACGTGATATTGAAAGTTCTTAGAAACGATCGTTATGTTATTGAAGATATTCCGGGACATCAAACTTCACAAATGCCGTACCAAGGCATTTGGGAGGCTTCAAATATACGGCATTGGCTACCTGCTTAATTATTTATATATTTAATTTATGTTTAATTGAATTGTATTGTGTTGTAAATTTAATTTATGTTTAATTGAATTGTATTGTGTTGTAAATTTAATTTATGTTTAATTGAATTGTATTGTGTTGTAACAATTATGTATGTTATTATAATGGTTAATCGGGACGCTTAACTGTCAGGATGGCCGAGTGTAAGAGTGGTGCGAGGGCCACTATATTAATATGACTGTCCCTGCGGATTCATGACAACGAATGTTATTAACAAAAGATGTTGTAAAACAGATCATTCACGATTTAACCGTTGACGAATAAAGTCTACAATATCTGGGAACACTCCCAGGGCGTAGCCCTTAGCCTCTAGCTGTGATTCCACTTTGCACACAAGGTGATGTAGGGCTGTGTCTGTCGACCGTCCCTCCCTATAGGCATATTGTGAAGTGGCCAGAGGCTTTAGGGTTAACGGGCCTGTCCTAAGATAGCGATCAACCAACCTTTCCAGCGTTTTAAGGAGGAAAGAGGTGAGGTTGATGGGTCTAAAATCCTTTGCCCGGATGTGTCCGTTCTTTCCCGGTTTGGGAATGGATACTATCTTGGTGTTCCCCCAAACCTGAGGGACGTGTCTGAGGGCTATGCTAGCCCTGAGAATTTTTGTAAGGGGGCCTATTAAGACATTTAGACCCTCTTGTAATAGTGCTGGAAAGATTCCATCCGGTCCAGGTGCTTTGTATGGGCGGAAGGTTTTGATCGCCCAATCTATGTCCCTGGGTTGTGCAATTTTGTTTGCCAAGGGCCAGTCCCGGGCCTTGTGGGAGTACCCGGTTCCTGTGCTGTGGCAGTTAATTGTAGGTGTTGTTTCTTGGAAGCCCGGAAAGTGGGTTTCGAAGAGGTGTTTTAGCGTATTTGATTCGCTGCTGGTGAACTCCCCATTTGGGAGTTGCAAGCAGTTAATCTGGGCTCGATGATCCGAGGATAGAATTCTGCATAGCCTGGGGGCCTCTGGGGTTTCCTCTATGCTTCCGCAGAAATCTCTCCAGCCTTTCCGTTTGGCTTTTACTATGGCCTTGCTGTATTTTTTCTGGGAGCTTCTATAGATCTCCCAGTGTACAGCAAGTCCAGTATTCCTTGCCTTATTAAAACTCTTTCTGGTCTCAGTCTTGAGTGTAGCTAACTCGGGAGTCCCCCACGGTACTCGAGACGATTCCGTCTTAGGTTTTAATGGGCAGTTTGCTTCATAGGCGTCTGTGATGGCATTGCCTAGACAGAGCGCCGATGTCTCCAGGTCTTCCCTGGTATGGAACCTGGTTGGGATGTTCTTGATAGTGGCATTGAGATCTGCTCTGTATCCATCCCAGTTGGTGCGTCTTGGGTTGCGAGTCCAAGTGATGACGACTTCTAGCTGCAGGGAAAAGCGGATGAGTCTGTGGTCGGATCCTGAAGGTTCATTGGAGACCCTCCAGTCTCTCACCAGGTCCACAAGTCCCTGCGAGCTAATAGTAATATCTAGTACTTCCTGTCTTCTGGAGTCCATGAAGGTTGGCTCAGTGCCTCTGTTCAGGATGCACAGTTCTGAACTGATGAGGAATTCGTGAAGGCTTTCTCCCCCAGGGTTGATGTTGGTGCTGCCCCACCCTGTGTGGTGGGAGTTGGCATCACAACCCAGTAGGAGTTCCAGTCCTTCTTTTCTTGCCAGTTCTGTCAGTTTCATGACTTCTGGGTGGGGTGGTGGGTCTGGGGAGTCATAGGGCATGTAAATTGAACCCAGTAACATTTCCCGGTACCCCCCGTCGTTTAGGTTTAGTCTGAGACGGATGACTGTGATGTCTCCGTTGGTTACCTGTGGCAGTAGGGTCGCAGTTAGTCCTTTGACTATAATGCAAGTCCTAGGTTTATCCTCTGAGCGTACATAGTAAATATTACCGCACCCGCCCAATCCCCTGATAGCCTTATGTACGAGCCATGGCTCTTGTACTAAGGCTATGCTTGTGTGCATCACTGCCATG